TCATCATCAAGACAGTATGGTACTGGCACAAAAACAGACACCTAGATCAATGGAACAGAATAGAGAGCCCAGAAATGCACCCTCAACTCTATGGTCAACTCATCTTTGACAAAGCAGGAAAGAATGTCCAGTGGAATAAAGACAGTCTCTTCCACAAATGGTGTTGGGAAAATTGGACAGCCACATGCAGAAGAATGAAACTGGACCATTTCCTTACACCACACACAAAAATAGACTCCAAATGGTTGAAAGACCTAAACGTGAGACAAGAGTCCATGAAAATCCTAAAGAAGAACACAGGCAGCAACCTCTTCGACTTCAGACGCAGCAACTTCTTCCTAGAAACATCGCCAAAGGCAAAGGAAGCAAGGGCAAAAATGAAGTACTGGGATTTCATCAAGATAAATAGCTTTTGCACATCAAAAGAAACAGTCCACAAAACCAAAAGACAACCGACAGAATGGGAGAAAATATTTGCAAATGACATATCAGATAAAGGGCTAGTATCCAAAATCTATAAAAAACTTATCAAACTCAACACCCAAAGAACAAATAATCCAATTAAGAAATGGGCAGGAGACATGAACAGACATTTTTCCGAAGAAGACATCCAAATGGCCAACAGACACATGAAAAAGTGCTCAACATCGCTCAGCATCAGGGAAATCCAAATCTAAACCTCAATGAGATATGACCTCACACCCGTCAGAATGGCTAAAATTAACCAGTCAGGAAACAACAGATGTTGGCGGGGATGTGGAGAAAGGGAAACCCTCCTACACTGTTGGTGGGAATGCAAGCTGGTGCGACCCCTCTGGAAAACAGTGTGGAGGTTCCTCAAACAGTTGAAAACAGAGCTACGATATGATCCAGCAATTGCACTACTGGGTATTTACCCCAAAGATACAAATGTAGGGATCCGAAGGGGTACATGCACCCCAATGTTTATAGCAGCAATGTCCACAATAGCCAAACTGTGGAAAGAGCCAAGATGTCCATCGACAGATGAATGGTTAAAGAAGCAGTAGTATATATACACAATGGAATATTATGCAGCCATAAAAAGGAATGAGATCTTGCCATTTGCAACGACGTGGATGGACCTGGAGGGTGTTATGCTGAGTGAAATAAGTCAATCAAAGAAAGACATGTATCATATGACCTCACTGATATGAGGAATTTTTCACCTCAGGAAACAAACTGAGGGTTGCTGGAGTGGTGGGGGGTGGGAGGGATGGGGTGGCTGGGCGATAGACATTGGGGAGGGTATGTGCTATGGTGAGCGCTGTGAATTGTGCAAGACTGTTGAATCACAGATCTGTACTTCTGAAACAAATAATGCAATATATGTTAAGAAAAAAAAAAGAAGAAGAAGATAGCAGGAAGGGAAGAATGAAGGGGAGTAAGTCGGAGGGTGAGATGAACCATGAGAGATGATGGACTCTGAAAAACAAACTGAGGTTTCTAGAGGGAAGGAGGGTGGGGGGATGGGTTAGCCTGGTGATGGTTATTAAAGAGGGCACGTTCTGCGTGGAGCACTGGGTGTTATGCACAAACAATGAATCATGCACCACTACAGCAAAAACTAATGATGTAATGTATGGTGATAAACATAACAATAAAAAAATTAAAAAACAAATAATTCTCATAAATCTATCAATGTGCTGTGCACCCCATGCAGTTAGCTAAAACAAACTCCCAGCATGACCTACTCGGGTTAGTATTTATTTGCAAATAGCTATTACTATGAATAACAGTAAACTGTGTGCCAAATGCCATACAAGCCATCTCACCCATATCAAGGTAGGCACTACTATCCTCACATTATGGGTAAGGAAACTGAAGCTCAGAGGTTAAATAACTTATTCAAGGCCATTAGCAGGCAAGCCAGAGTCTGAATCTAGACCTCCCTGACTCTGAAGTTCTTACTCTTAACCTCTAAAGGCAAGGATAGTATCCCATCAAGCAAAACCTTGTTGTACTATATTGTTGTGAAGTAAATTAGGTGAGAAGCACAATCAGCACACAGAACCCTCTAAGAAGGTGGTAAAATCCTACTGTCCTGCAGAGCACAGACTAAGCAGCCACCTATACAGTTGAAGGATCTCCCAGGTCCCCAGAGTGGAGGGTTACAGGAGGGTTTCTTCACTGAAAGGAAAAGAACATAAATCATAAGAACTTGCTATTTCTCCAAGGCAGCAGGATTGAGAGATCAGGAGAGTGGAAGGAAAGGGATTTCCTGGTGCCTCAGAAGCAACACTACCTGGTAGAACCTTGTAAACACTCAGTAAAACCCATTTCCTCTTCTTGGGCATAGAGCTAGACATGACTTCCCAGCCTCACTTTGCAGCTAGGTGTGGCCATGGGACTAAAATCTGGATAATGAAATGTGAGCAAAACTAATGTGTGTCTCTTCTAAGCTTAACCCACAAAACCTTCCCATGAGTGATCTTTCATCTTTTTTCCCCACCCACCAGCTGTACAACAATCCCCAGGGCACCTCAGAAGTCACAATTCCCAGGACACCCTGGAAGTCATACGTGAAGATAGAAGAGCCACCACCAACCCAAGTATCTAAATAGAGGAGAGACAGCTGGTCACCTTGATCAGCAGCCCTGTAATGCTAAAGGGAAATAAACTTCCTATTATTCAGGGAATCTATATGTCATTTATTTATTTTTAAATTTTTTAAAATTTTATTTTATTATGTTATGTTAGTGTCTATATGTTATTAAGGCCTGAACTGGTCCTACTAAAAAACCAGGCCATAGCTATAGCCATGGAATCAGTAACGGTGGGGCAGAAAGGAAGTTTCAAGGTCATCCTCCTCCTACCACTTACAAATGAGGATGCTGATGCAAGCCTCAGAGAGATGACATCAATTCCCCAAGTTCACACAGCCAGCTAGTGGCAGTGTCTGGGTCTTCTGACCTTGTGTTCAGAGCACTTTGTACCATACCAAGTGGCTTCCTTGAGTCTTAGAACTAGATAGTACCTGCTCAGAATGGCCCATCATTACCAACTAAGTGTGGAGGCAGCCAAGAAAATCCATTTTGCCAGGAACTCTTTCTACCCTACTCTGGAGAGAATGGTGGGAGCCTCTCATGAGTACGGCACACTCCTTTCTGGAGCTGTGCACTGGCCGGTTCTGCCTGCCTGATCATCAACACTGCGTAGGCAGCTTCCGGTCTCAGTTTACCCATTCCTTCCTAATGCTGTCTGGGATCACCTGCCAAGTAAACTATTTGTACTCAAGAGTCTTCTGTTTTGAGGTCTCCATGGAGTACTCACTTAAGACATAATAAAGCATTTTTCACGTGAGACATTGTAAGTCAGGGGGGTCGTAAGTATTCCTCCTTTTGGCCAAGGGGATCAAGAATGTAAGCAGATGAGAAGGAGGTCTTTTGCATTTCTGTATGAAAAACAGGGATGTCCAGCGGCTGATGGGAAGGCGGATGTGGCACCTGGTGGTTCTGATGGGCGGCTGCTTTGAGATAAAGCTGAGAAACAGCATCCCCCAAGGCAAACCAGCTGCAGTAACTGAAGTAAGGTGTTACTCTCAGGCAGCTGTGCACACAACAGGCATCATCAAGGATGATGGAGCCGGAGAGGAAGGGCCTGTGATGCCACACGAGAAACTCTTGGTGACTCTCAGAAAATAAGTTGGGGAAAATTTTTATGTTGGGGGATGTGATAGCTAAGGTGCTACATTATACAAGAAAGGGTGCTGAGTTAGTTCAATTTGAGCTATTCATGGGTCTCGTTCATACCCATAAGCTTGTCAGAAATATTTCCAATATTCAATTTGAAGATCCAGTCTACTGTCAAGTATGCTATTATTTAATGGCAGCTCTTAGAAACTGAAAAAAATAGCATTATTGCAAGACACATCCTAATGTCAAAAATGTTAAAATGTGTGGAGAAAAATGTGTCTTAGATGTAGAAAATACAAGCACAAAATGATTGGATAACTGAGAGGGGGAATGAGTCAAATTCCTGTCTTTAGCAGGTCCTGACACTCATTAGAGAGATTTCATGTGTAAGGAAAAAGAAACAGTGCAGGAGGGGATAAGCCAACACAGCAGATGGAGGGCTCAAGACCATAGCCCACTGTGGCTCTACTGTACAACCGAGGGTATACTCTTCTCCGCCTGGTCTCATTTGAAAGTTATCCTTCCCATTTAGTGTCACTCTGTATTAGCTGACAGGCATTTACGGAGCATTCACCATGGGCCTCACACTGTGCCAGGACTGTGAGGGCCAGAGAACAGACTCGGAACTTCTTTCTTCATCTGTAAGACTTCCATTTATTCGCTCATTAAGAAATAGAATGCTAGGGGAGCCTGGGTGGCTCAGTCGTCAGGCGTCTGCCTTCGACCCGGGTCATGATCCCAGGGTCCTGGGATCAAGCCCCGCGTTGGGCTCCCTGCTCAACAGGAAGCCTGCCTCTCCCTCTCCCACTCCCCCTGCTTGTGTTCCCTCTCTCGCTGTGTCTCTCTCTGTCAAATAAATAAATAAAATCTTTTAAAAAAAAGAAAGAAATAGAATGCTAGCTCATTGTCAGGCACTGTGTAGGCCTGAAGAATACATAGATACATCTAAGTGCCCAGTTCTGCCCTCAACATGCCACCAGTTCATTGGCGGAGACCAACACAAAAAGGAGTAATCATTCACTCTGGGAGGCGCTTCTGTCATCAAGCATGCAAGGGAACTGTGAGGCACACGAAAGAAATTTGAAAGGAAAGCCTTCCAACAGGATAAGACTACGGGGCTGAGATTTAAATGATGTCAGGAGTCATCCAAGCTGTGAGAAGACAAATGAGTGCAAGAGGATGCCTGTCAGAGAAAAGACACAAGCAGACACGGCAGTTGGAATTGACAGGAAAGTGTAGAAATGTCCAGGACTTCAGTGTGGCGAATCACCAGAACTAGGACTCAAGCTGCAGAAGATGAGGGTGGAAGGTGCAGAGCTGCCTGCATGGGACCCAAGCCTTCCTTACCTTCTATATCGGGAGGGGCGGCTCCATCCCTGTACTGGGTGGCTTCCTTGATGATCTGTGTCATGTTTTGGGAAAACGCGCCAAGGTCCCTGACTGACCGGAGCTTGAAATGGAACTGAGCAGTGGCCATGGCCTTCAGCTCCTCCTCAGAAGCATCCTGCAGCCCCACAGAGACGATCCTCACCCCGTCTTCCCGCAGGGCCTTGGAGGCCTCTTCCACGTCATCCTCAGACTCCGCGGAAGCCAGGACCACCAGAATCGGGGGAAACTGCTTCCTGTCCCTCCTGCTGGCCGGTGCAGAGAAGTAGGTCCTGTGAGCCTCCCGAAGAGCGTTGCCCACCCTCAGGGAGCCGCCAATGAAGCCGAAGTTCTTCTTGAGGTGGGTCAGCATGGGGTTCCTGCTCTTGAAGGTGCTCAGCTGGAACGCACTGTGGAGCTGGTTACTGTACTGGCCCAGGGCCACGCGGTACTTGTGGGCCTCTATGGGCAGACTGCTGATCATTTTGTTGATGAACGCTTTCACAAAAGGGAAGGAGTTAGTTCCCAGGTGATCAGAGCTGTCCACCAGAAACACGATATCTGCATACTCAGGGCCCGGCCCTATCAAAATAAAATGACAACAAACCTAAACAGGGTGATTGATTGTTCAGCCTTTACATTTGAGACCACAATACTCATTTGAGATTACGCCCTCAGTTAAGAGTAACTCAGAACCCCAAGGAAAATGTCTTCTGGAGGTCAAACAGAAGAAACTGTTCTGGTTTTTGTGAAAATATCAAACAAGAGGACTTTTGTAAAATGAAGCAATAATTCTTTTCTTTCTCAACTCTATACCAGAGACTTTTTTTTTTTTTTGATTGTGGAACTCCAAACTCTGGTAATATACTAAAGAATAAACAAGAAAGCCCCCCAAGTGGTCTGTGGATTAAGAATAACTTTTAGAAACCATATCAGGTAAGCAGGTGTCTTGGGTTGGAGAGTTTAGAAGCAGATCTAAGACAGGGACTAGGGGGGCAGGGGCTTCACTGAGGGGAAGCAGGATAAGGGAAGGAGGAGAGGAGCAAAGCACCATATTTGCCTGATCTGAGAGGACTCTGGAGCATGTCACTCTCTGAGGCAAGAGGGCCAGTTTGTTATACTCTTCTCTCAGTCAGTCACTGGCTGCAGACCATCCCTAGGAATTGCAGGGAAGGAGCGGAGGGCTATGGGCACAATCTCCTGCATTAGCTGACTCTAGAAGAGCCAAGAGCAAGTCTCTTGAGAAAGTGGGCCATGTCTGTGAGCTGTTACAGGCAATATTCACAGCAGCTGGGTCCAGAGGTAGGGTGGGGGGCGAGCAGTGTACTAGCCTGATGAAGAGAGTCTGGGCCCAAGGGAGGCACCACCAGCATCCACTTTAGCAGTTGGCCACCTTCATGCTGGAAATTAGTGATGTGCTAGTAAATGCCTAACAATTGCTCTCTCTCTTTCCAAGTTAACTCAGAAGTTTATCAGGAAATCCTAGGATGCAGACTGACCTACAAAACAAATGAGTCGACTCTATTCACAGAGACATGGAACATTGGAACCTAAGCAAATCAATGAATAATTAAAGTTCTTCTAGCCAGGTGTAGCATAATTCATGCTTTTGCCCCTGGCTTTCTGTCACCTTTGAGAGATTAAGTTTACTTGACATAGCATGCCTCCAACTACGATTCAGTCAATGCTGTCTGCTTTGATTTTTTAAGTAAATAAATAAATAAATCCTTTGTTTCTATGTATTAAACTGAATGTTAGTTAAGGCATAAAAATGTTTCTTTTCCTAAATGATAATAAACATAAAGTATACCGGTACCTGGACTCTGATCTGCCAATGTTTCAGTCCAAAGGATTAAGACGAATATAATAAGCAGGATCTTCATTTTGTTAATGACAGTTTCTTGCTTTTATTCTGTAAAAAATGTTATGTACAATATGAAAAATCTCATTGTATAACAAGAAATAACTACTGGAGAATCGGGGTTAGAATGCAATTCACTGAACAAGTGCCTGTCAAGTAGTGCCAGGTGTGTTTAAAATGCTCATGAAGCATTTGGAGTATATACTGCAAACAGAGAATGCTAACGTTTGCTGAGTCCTTGCCATGGCTTAGATACTTTTCTCAGTGCTTTATGAGTATCAGCTAATTTAATCTTCACAACTGTCTTACGGGGAGGGACAAATACACTGGCCATGTGACATATGAGGAACCAGCACAGAGTGGCTTGGTAAGTGGTAGATCCAGGATGCCAACCCAGACAAGGTGACTGCAGAGTCCAAGCTCTTAACCACCATACATATGTGTCATATGAAATCTGTGTCCTCACAAATCACCTATTCTTTACTTTTTTTTTAGATTTATCTATTTATTTTAGGGGGGGTGAGGGGAGAGGCAGAGGGAAAGAATCTTCAAGCAGACTCCCCACTGAGCATGGAGCCCAAAGCAGGGCTCGATCCCATGACCCATGAGATCATGCCCTGAGCTGAAACCAAGAGTCAGGCTTCACTGACTGAGACACCTAGGTGCCACCTTAACCTTCTATTTTTATGTCAACAATGACTATCGTGTGTGTTCACACCTTGGCTCAAAAAAGCCAACGGCTATCCATGTCTCTCTCTCTCTTTTTTTTAAGATTTTATTTATTTATTTGAGAGAGAGAGAGAGAGAGAGCACAATCAGGGGGAGAGGCAGAGGGAGAGGGAAAAGCAGACTCCCTGCTGAGCTGGGAACCCAACATGGGGCTTGATCCCAGGACCCTGGGATCATGACCTGAGCTGAAGGCAGACACTTAACCATCTGAGCCACCCAGGCACCCCCTCATGTCTCTTTCTTCATGAAACCCTTGTGAAAACTGTTCTCTCATTTACAGAGATACTCAGTTTTACAAATTACTTAAGCTCAGCATTTCTCTCCATGCAGCTCACAATCAATCAGAAATCTTCAGGGGACATTATAATCTTTTAGGAATTCCATCAATTCAGAGTTGTTCTTTATAAAGAGGAAAAGAGATCAAATAACCAATATTAAAAATAGAGCTGCCTTAAGTGAGATACCAAAGGTATAAGGGCTGGGTTTTCTTCTAGAGTTGACTTTTCCAGCACTTCTTTTGAAATTGATGATTATTAAGGAAGATTGAAAGAATCATTGGAATCTAGATTTGGAAGAGACCCAACAGATCATTTAGACTAACCCCTTATCTTGCTAAGGATGGCTACTAACAAGGCTCCCCAGTAGTTAGTGGCTGAATCATGTCAACGAACGATGACTTTTAAATCTATATTCATCGTATTCTAAAATACCACATATTTTACTTATTCATTAATTTTAGTATTGAGATACAACTTGCATACTGTAAGATTTACCCCCTTTACAGTGTTCAATATGTTTTAGTATATCACAGAATTTGTATCCATTATCACTAATTCCAGAACATTTTCATGACCCCTTCCCACAAGAAACCCCATACCACTTAGTGGTTAATCCCCACCCTCCCCTTCCAATTGACCCTGGCAAACACTGATCTACTTTCTTCTCTATAGATTTGCCTGTTCTGGACATTACTATAAATGGAATAATATAACATATGGCCTTTTGTGTTTGGAATTATTCATTAACATAATGTTTTCAAGATTTATCTATGTTGTGACATGTACTAGTGCTTCATTCTTTTTTATGGCTAATATTCTATTGTATGGATATACAACATTTTAAAAAATCTATTCTTCTGTTGATGAACATTTGAGTTGTTTCTACTATTATGAATATTGCTGCTATGAACATTTGTGTACAAATTTTTGTGTGGATACATGTTTTCATTTCTTGAGGAAATACTTTGAGTAGATTCCTAGGAGTGGAATTTTTGGTCTTATGGTAACTTTATGTTTAACATTTTGAGAAACTGCCAAATTGTTTTCCTAAGTGGTTGCACAATTTTGCATTCCCACCAGCAATGAATAAAAGTTCCAACTTCTCTACATTGTCACCAACACTTGTTATTTTCTGTCTTTTTTTATTCTAGTGGGTGTAAAAGTGTATCTTACCATGGTTTTGATTTGCATTTCCCTAATGATGAATGACATTGAGCATCTTTTCAATTATTTATCGGTCATTTGTATACCTTCTTTAGAGAAACACCTATTCAAACACTTGGCCCATTTTTAACTGGGCCCATATTTATCTTTTTTTAGTGTGTAATAAGAACTAATTATATAAACTGGATACTAGACAGTTATCAGATATATAATTTGCGAATATGCTCCTCCTACTCTGTGGGTTGTATTTTCACTTTCTTAAGGCTGTCTTTAAGGCACAAGTAATTTTAAATTTGATCAAGTCCAATTTATCTATTTTTTCTTTTGTTGCTAGGGCTTTTGGTGTCATAGCTAAATCACCATTACCTACTCCACAGTCATGAAGATTTACTCTGATGTTTTCTTCTAAGAGTTTTATAGTTTTAGCTTTTACATTTAGGTCTTCAATCCATTTTGAGTTAATTTTGTGGGTGGTATGAGGTAGGGATACAATTCTATTCTTCTTTATGTAGATATTCAATTGTCCTAGCACCGTTTGTTGAAAGGACTTTTCTTTTACCATTGAGTTGTCTTGGTATGCACAAAAACAAATTTACCATAAGTATATGAGTTTATTTTTGGATTCCCAATTCTATTTCATTTATATCTATATGTCTATTCCTATGCCAGTACCACACAGTCTTGACTATTCTACCTTTGTAGGAAGTTTTGAAGTCAGGAAATGTGAGTCCTGTAACTTTGTTCTTTTTCAAGGTTGTTTTGGCTGTTCTGGGCCCCACCTATTTCTAAATGACTTCTAGAACTACTTTGTCAACTTATGCAAAAAAGGCAGCTGGAATTTTTATAGAGATTGCCTCCAGTGTGTAGATAAATTTGTGCAGTATTATTATTCATTTTTTAAAGATTTATTTATTCATTTTAGAGAGAAAGAAAAAGCATGAGTGAGCATGAGCAGGGGGTTGCAAGGCAGAGGGAGAGGGAGAGAAAGAATCTCCAGCAGACGCCCTGCTGAGTGCAGAGCCCAACAAGGGGCTCGATTTCACAGCCCTGAGATCATAACCTGAGCCAAAATCAAGTCAGATGCTTAACTGACTGAGCCACCCAGGTGCCGCCAATATTGCCATTTTAATGATGTTAAACATTCCAATCAATTAATATAGATTGTCTATGGAGGAGAGAATTTGTTTTAACTCCTGGCTCCATATTTCAGTAATGTTTTTCAAGAGGAGGAAATTATTAGAAGTCAGGGATAAAAGGAAGGCCTCTCTAAAAAGCCATGCTGATTTAGGAATCAATAAATATTCAGAGCTGTATATATTTCCTTCCTCTGGTTGGATGTATATTTGGAAAGTGAGACTGGGCTGCACCCAGCCCAGGATTAACTCAGTTGCCCTATTCGCCTGTGGGTTCTAGAACCTCAAAGAAGATATCCTGGGTGGCCATCTGTGTGCAGTTCCACTCCAGCCTGCAAGCCTTGGCTTGGCTCCACTCTAGTTCCCTCTTCAGCTGAGGTCCCCACTCTGCAGGTCTTGGCACCAAAATGGTGAAGCAGCAGCAAGTAAGGTAGGCAGGCATGTCTTACTCATTTATTTTTATTGCCTTTCTCTCCCTAGAGCTTGGAATCAAGCTCAAAGAGAATGGGGATTTCTGTCTGTCTTGTTCATCATTATATCTCCAGCTTTTGACACATAGTACGCACTTACTAAACACTATACATAAATATTGTAACTTTGCATATACACCATTTCACGAATATGTGCATATATCTATAACTTAATTTTGTAGAGGTGGAATTACTAGATCTAATGTATGTTTAAGATTTTATGAGTATTGCCAAACTGCCATCCATTGGGTTATACCAAATAATATTCCAATACCTGTCCCCCCAAACAGCATGTTCCATAATTTTCAATTCACTGTCTTTTTTTCCAACTTGTTGAGATACAATTGACAGATTACATTGAGTAAGTTTAAGATGTACCACTGATTATTTGATAAATGTATACGTTACAAAATGATTACCACAATAAAGTTAGCTAACTTACCTTTCCGTGTGTGTGTGTGTGTGTGTGCTAAGAACTTTTAAGATCTATATTCTTGGCAACTTTAAAGTATATAATACGGTATTATTAACTATACTAACCATACTGTACTATAGTTAATGTAACTACAGATGTAATCATCCCCTAATCTTATTCACCTTATAACCGGAAGTATGTATCCTTTGACTACCTTCACACATTCCTCCCCCACCCCCCTGAAAACTACTACTCTACTCTGCTTCTGTGAATTTGGTTATTTTAGATTCCACACATAAGTGAGATTGTTCAACATTTGCATTCTCCATCTGACTTATTTCATTGATCATGATGCCCTCAAGATTCATCCATGTTGTTGTAAATAGCAGGATTTCCTTCTTTTATGGCTAAATAATATTCTTGTGTGTGTGTGTGTGTGTGTGTGTGTATCACATTTCTTTATCCATTTGTCTGTCAATGACAGGTTCTTTCCATGTCTTGAATACAGTAAACAATGCTGCAATGAACATGAAGATGCAGATACTTCTTCAAAATAGTGGTTTTATTTCCTTTGGATATGTATGTAGAGTGGAATTGCTGGGTCATATGGTAGTTCTAGTTTTGATTTTTTGAGGCACGTCCATACTGTCTTCCGTAGTGGCTGCACCAATTTACATTCCCACCAACAGTGTATAGCTGTTCTTTTTTTCTCCACATTCTCACCAATATTTGCTATCTTTTGTCTTTTGGGTAATAGCCATTCTAACAAATGTAAGGTATGGTTTTGATTTGCATTTCCCTGATGATTAGTGATGTTGAGCACCTATTCATGC